CTCAGTCTCTGAATTTGTTTAGTGTGTGCATAAACGCAGAAGGAACGAAATCAGGGCTCTGCCAGTCCAGCGACGCATCCCCTGTAAAGAAAGAACACAAGTTTGTTTATTAGCAAATAGCTAACAACTATCTAACAGCTATAAATTGTTTTCACAGCATCAAGTTTTTTCAGAAGACTACGAGCATTTACATGCAGAAAATGAAGCCCAGAGGCATTTTTAAAGTCATTTGGTGTGCTGTAATTAGTCGGGGGTCCAGGGTTGGGCTGAATCCCTGAGAGCAGTAACAACATTATTATCAGACATTTTCTTGAGTTTTTTGTGACTGATGTGTAATTACAGGAGTTAACAGTGTGGCAATTAGCCCCCATAATTGAACCATGAGAAACATTAATGAAGACGTGATCATTCAGAACCCAAAAACAGTGAAAGTTGCAGTGATGGACAGATTCAGGTGTATTAACAAGATTCAGTGACTCCAGATAATCTGAGAACTGAAAATAGTGACAGTAATATGAATGATGCAGAAAAGTTTCAGACCATAAATGGCCATTATTAGTTGTTATCATCCCCATAAGTATCGTTCAGACTCTCCCTCCCGTACCTCCTACAGTAAACAACTTCCGGTGGCTATAGCGTTAGTTTTAGACAGTGATGAAAATGGCTCAGTCTTGGCATTCACTCAGGAGTATTTTGTCCGCGGATCCACCACCAGCTGCTTTAAAGGTGGAGCTGTTCCTTCTCTCTTCATCTGGAATAATTTCACCGCACCAGCTAAGAGAGAGTCTGCTTTTAGAGAGCTCAGAAACAGCAGCTTGTCCTCTCACAGAAAGCTAGCCAGGCTGAAGCTGCTACTGCTGCTGTCCACGTAAAACTCCCTTCACCGCAGTGGCACATCCACCCACAGGTAAATATCAAATTAAGATTGTACATTATAAACTTGTCATGTAAGTCATGGAAAGATCAAGTTGCGCAGACTCAGAAAATGTATTGATCTTCATGGAAATAGTGTCAACAATAATAATAATGTCAATAAGCTCAATAATGAAACAATCTTGCTAACCATATTTTATGCTATTATTTTATTTTGTGATTTTACAGGTGCACTCCCAGCTGTCCTCATTCTGCTCAGTCCTGCGTTGGTGGACTCTCACTCCTGCTTGAGTCACCATAATTAGGCAGTATCTTACCTGAGAGAAGATTGGCTGGCAAAGGCTGTGGCCATTTTCAACTATTTTTATTTGTGAATGTGAGGCCCATGTTTGTTTGTTTGTTTTGTGATCCTTAAATATTGTTCATATTTATTTTTGTTTACTTAATTTAATATTTATATTCCAGGTTGAAGGTGGCAGTCCAGTCTTTTGTATGTTCCGTTCCACTCGTGTCTCGTGCATTACAGCTTGTGGGTGAATTTCTGCTCTTCATCATCATCAACTTTATTTATAAAGCACTTTAACACAGCCATAGCTGAAACAAAGTGCTGAAACATCAGTTAAAAACAAGATAAAAGACAGCATAAAAACAGAGCTACAAACCCAAGCACACAACTCAATTTAAAACACAATAAAACAACAAGTTAAACAGATAAAATCAACACCAATAAAATAAAGTAAAATCAAGACTCAGTTGGGTTGAAGGCCAATGAATAGAGATGAGTTTTTAGATGGGTTTTAAAAATGGACAGCGAGGGGGCCTGTCGAATGTACAAAGGCAGAGTGTTCCATAATTTAGGGGCACTAACAGAGAAGGCCCTGTCTCCTCTAAGCTTCCTCTTACTCTTGGGGATGACCAGGAGCAGCTGGTCAGCAGACCTGAGTGACCGAGGTGGAGTGTAATGGTGGAGAAGCTCTGTTAAATAAGGGGGGGCAAGACTGTTTAAAACCTTAAAAACAAACAAAAGAATTTTAAAATGAACTCTAAAATACACGGGCAGCCAGTGAAGAGAAGTCAGGACAGGTGTGATGTGCTGTCTTTTGTGTGTTCCAGTTAAAAGACGTGCAGCAGCATTTTGCACCAGCTGCAGACGTGCGAGTGAGGACTGGCTGACTCTGAGATAGAGAGAATTACAGTAATCCAGCCGTGATGAAATGAAGGCATGGATTACTGTTTCAAACTGTTGCCTTGAAAGAATAGGTTTTACTTTTGCCAATTTTCTCAAATGATAAAAACCAGACTTTACTGTGGTGGCCCTTATTTGACTGTCGAGTTTAAAATCACTGTCCATCTTAAAACCAAGATTTGTAACTGTAGACTTTACGTACATTGTTATGGGGTCTAAGTCGACTGGAGGGCTCAAACAAGCTCCACTAGGTCCAAAAACAAGTACCTCAGTCTTTTTTTCATTAAAATGCAGGAAGTTTAGGGCCAATCAAGCTTTAAGATCCTCGAGACACAATAAAAGAGGTTTAATGGACCAGGCATCAACTCACCTCAAAGGAACATAGATTTGGCAATCATCAGCATAGCAGTGAAAGGAGATGCCGTGTTTTCTAAAAATTGATCCTAGAGGAAGCAGATATAAAGAAAAAAGTAAAGGCCCTAAAATTGATCCCTGAGGTACGCCACATGACAAAGGAGCAGAATAGGATTCATGCCCAGCAGTTTTTACAGAGAAAGTTCTGTCAGTCAGATAGGACCCCAACCACTCCAGAGCAGTCCCACCAATGCCTACTTGATGCTGTAGACGTGACAATAAAATGCTGTGGTCCACTGTGTCAAACGCAGCAGTTAAGTCCCGTAAAACAAGAATCACATGATCATCTGAGTCACATGCCAGGAGGACGTCATTAAAAACTCTCAGCAGAGCTGACTCTGTGCTATGGAGAGTTTTAAATCCAGACTGGAACACATCCATGATGTTATGTTCATCCAGGAAGGATTTTAACTGAGCATAAACAATTTTCTCCAAGATTTTTGACAGGAGGGGAAGCTTAGAGATGGGCCTAAAATTCCCCAATACAGTGGGATCGAGACCAGGTTTTTTTTAATAGGGGCTGCACAACAGCATGTTTAAAATTAGCAGGGACTACTCCAGATAACAAACTACTGTTTAAAAGGTCAAGAACCAAGTGTTTAAAACAAGGGAAAACCTCTTTAAGAAAGCGTGGTGGAAGAGCATCATATGGAGAACCAGAAGGCTTAATCTGAGTGACCATGTCCTCTAAAAATGGGGCGCTGACGTCGGGGGGGACATCCTCACCAACAACACGAACCAGGCAAGCATCCACTGGCTCCAGAAAACGCCAAGGTAGAAACACGCCAGGAAACACTTCAGGAACTGGCCGGGAACCGTTGCGCCGCGACAAAAAGGCCTTCAGCCTCACCATGCGTCCACCGCGTTTGCCACGGCGGCGATGACGCCTCCGCCGGTGGGGCAGCGCCGGAGCCCGACACAGGTGAGCTGGAATACCCGACAGAAGTTTTGTTCCCATGTATTAAAAGCAGCCACACTGTGGATAAATGGCCTTAGATCTAATAACGTTTGGCGATCATACACCAATAGTGCCTTGACTTCACTTAAAAACAACAGAATAACGAAAAGTACGGAGAGTGAGAGACGACCTGCCACATACAACGGCGCCATCTTATCATTGTGTTACCTTGAACCATCCTTTTGTCTTTTAGTTGACTGAACACTGGAAAGCCTCAGCCTTGGCTGAATATTTATTTTAAGAATCACTATTGCCTGCATTAGAATAGGTTTTTAATTTAGTGTTAATAAAATTTATATTGTATCTTGGAACAGTCTCCTGCTTACTTGTAAACAAACCCAAGTGACTTTTCTGTGTATAAACTGTCATTGGATGAACTAAGGTAGTGTTGCAGTGTTTATAAAATAAAAATAGCATCCATACCCAAGCTTGTTACATATTGTTCTAGTGTTATGTAATTAGTTATTTAAAGGTTTTGAAATATTTTTAAACATTCTTCAATTAAAACACACTTAAGCAGCATACTGTTCTGTTTTTATTATTTTTTTTATTATTATATTTGTGGATTGATTCTGTTGTATTGAAAGGAAAACAAGTGTAATTTACAATATCTAGTAAAAACAAACAAAAAAAACTTAAATATTTAACATTTTATAACTGTAAACTATAAATATTTAGTGGATTATAGATATTTTTCCCAAATTATACAATTTCATTTTAAAGAAATTGGCACATCTATGCATTTTTTTTTCATGAGTAAAAACTATTTATAGTATTTACAGTATTCACACAGCTTGAGAATGAATATTAAAAATGTGAAAGAACAAAAGGGTGATTTACACATTTTTTGATTCTTACTGCATTGATATAAACACATCGATGAAGGTGTTGAAGTAAAACATGTCAGCAGTAGGAATGTGCGATATATATGTTACATGGTAGAAATGATAGACATTTAGCCTACAATAGAGATCTATCTTCTACCGGCTCCTGACACTGAACAACATACACAATATTACTCTGTTTGTGCCGGGGGACTGGATCTTTGGAATGAACCAGTCTTTGCCGTAATGTATTTTGGGGTTTAAAAGCCACTGGGACGTTGTGTTTAGAAAATAAACATCTCAGTTTCTCTGATACTCCCTCAACATATGGATTGACCACTGGTCTGTGTCTGGGTTCCTCCTTTTCATCTGATGGCTGACTGGAGTCCTGTTTGGGTTTCTTCTCTGCTTTCAGGAAGGCACAGTTGGGATATCCACATTGCTCTAGAGCCTGTCTTGTGTGGGATTTCTCCTTCTACCTGGCTACTGAGTTAGTGGGGACGCTGTCTGTGAGGCATTTCAGCTGCTGCTGCTGCTGTTTTTTTTTTCCCCTGATTGGTTGGCAGCACTAATCATACTCACCTGCTACAGATGACTCATCTGCTCACTGGCTTTATAAGGATTCACTGTGGATCAGGACTTCGCTGGAACTACCGTTGTAACGCTGCTCGGAGGAGGAGGAAGCTAACGTTGATCTGCGTCGGAGGAGAGTTTGAGTTGAAAGACAGTTCAAAACTACACCAAACTTGGAGTGTGGAAAAGGCGGTAATTGGCATAAACTGGTGTGTGAATGGTTCGGATGGAAATGGAGTTAGGTAATGAAGAAGAAGGGGAACCAGAAGGGTGGACGACAGTGGGAAGAGGGAGAGGAAGAGGACGGGGTGGAATGAAACTAGGTGAAGGAAAGGGTGTTAGAGATAATCAAGGAAGTAAAAGGGATCTAGAAGGAAGCAGTTCAGAGGAAGAAAGGGTTGTAAGGAGAAAAGTTGGGAATGAGGAATTTAAAGTAATTCTGAAACTTAAGAGCGAGGACGGTCAGGAGAAAATCAGCCCAATTGGGGTGTCAAAAGAAATTAAAAAGAAAATAGGAGATGTTGAAATGGTGAAGATTTTGAGAGACGGAAGCCTTTTGATAGAATGTAAGGATATAGAGCAAAAGAATAAAGCCTTCAATGTGGATAACATATGTAAAAGAGTGGTGCTGGAGAAAAAAATGTTGGGAGAAAATATAAAAACTAGAGGAGTGATATATGGGATCCCTCTAGATGAGGATCTAGAAAAACTTAAGAAAAATATAGTTGGAGCAAAGGTGACTAATATGAAAAGGCTGTCAAGAACTGTGGATGGGAAGAGAGTGGGGAGTCAGTCCATTCTAATGGAGTTTGAGGGAAAAGAGCTGCCAATGAGCATAAAAATAGGATATATAAGCTTCCAAGTCAGACCTTATGTACCTCCACCACTTCGGTGCTATAAATGCCAAAGGTACGGACACATTGCGGCAGTATGTAAAGGAAAGCAGAGATGTCCAAAATGTGGGGAAGATCATAAATTTGAAGAATGTAAGGAAGATCCATCCATCCATTATCTTTACCCGTTTATTCCATTTTGGGTCACGGGGGTCGCTGGTGCCCATGTCCAGCAATCACTGTGCGAGGGGCGGGGTACACCCTGGACGGGTCGCAAGTCCATCACAGGGCCACATAGAGACAAACGAGACAAACAACCATTCACTCTCTCACTCACACCTAGGGACAATTTAGAGTTACCAATCAGCCTAACATGCATGTTTTTGGACTGTGGGAGGAAACCGGAGCACCCGGAGAAAACCCACGCATGCACAGAGAGAACATGCAAACTCCACCCAGAAAGGCCCCTGGACCAGGGTTTGAACCAGGGACCTGCTCGCTGAGAGGCAGTGTAAGGAAGATGTAGAAGAGAAATGTTGTAACTGTGGGGGAAAGCATAGAGTCACGTTCGGAGGGTGTGAGGTCAGGAAGAGGGCTAAAGAAGTTGTGCAGATAAAAACAACTAAAAATATTAGCTATGCAGAAGCTGTAAAAAGTGTGAAGGAACAGGAAAAAAGAGGGGTCGAGCAAACGGGGAACCAAACAAAACAGCAAACTAAAGTAATACCAGAAGATAAAGTCATTTACTCACTGGAAAATCTAGTCTTATTTATAGCATATGTTATCAACTGTACTGTTCAAGCTAAGAACAAAACAGAGAAGATTAAAATAATAGTGAAAGGAGCTGAAAAATTCTTGGGATTCAAGGAAGGACCAATACACATCCTCAGTACTGGGTTACATTAGTACATGTACTGACACAGTCTCCACTATCAGAAATGTTAAAAGCTACCCAAACAGAAAACCTTGGCTGAATGCAGAGGTGCGTACCCTGCTGGAAGCCAGGAACACTGCCTTCAGGTCTGGAAACTCAGAGGAGCTGAGTAGGACAAGAAAAGAGCTGGTTGCTGGTATTAAGAGGGCCAAGGCCACATATGCAAAGAGGATCGAGGGTCAATTCATCTCACAAGACCCTCGGAGCATGTGGAGGGGCATTAAGTGCATAACAGATTATAAAGGAAGGAGTGAACAATGTCCCAAAGACCCATCTCTGCCTGATGCCCTCAACAAGTTTTATGCACGCTTTGAAGACCCGAACAGACCACCCAGCACCAGACTCACCTCACCACCGGATGAAGAGCATCTCAGCGTGACCTCAGCAGAAGTAAGGAGTACCTTCAGGAGGATTAATCCGCACAAAGCAACTGGCCCAGACAACATCCCCGGAAAAGTGTTGAAGGAATGTGCTGATCAGCTCTGTGAGGTGCTGGCAGACATCTTTAACACCTCACTTACCCTGGAGACAGTTCCCACCTGCCTGAAGACTGCCACCATCATCCCAGTCCCAAAAAGCTCTACAGTGACTGGTCTGAATGACTATCGGCCAGTGGCCCTCACCCCGATAGTCGCTAAATGCTT